GGCGAGACGATGAGGCAACCACAAGCACTTCCACTTGTTCAAGAGGTCCACGAGGGAAAAATGCACAATATTACCGTTATTACAGAGCACGGAAGCGAGCGGAACAGGAAAAAGAGTTGTTGAATAGAACTAGTGATCCTTCTACGACTGCTGATTCTTCTACAATTAACGTCGCAGGTTACGAAGTTTAACTTCTTCTTAACTCCACCCACTATTTTTTTTTTGTTGCAATAGTTTAATTATACTCCAACTAAACTTTTTACAAATTTCACCTTATCTTTAAAAGAAATTAATTTAATATTTAAAAAAATCTATTAGTTTTGAGAATTTAACCCAAATATACTTCTCAAATGGCTCAGTGGTTAAAGCACTAAACAGTCATTATGGTGAACTGGGATTCGATCCCTAGGCGACATTTGAAGCTAACCTAACTTAACTTCGATCGGTATCAGCTTGTAGGCAAAATAAAGGCCGCCAGTGTGCCATACTGACTACATTGCCGTAACCGAGCGGTTAGTATGGAAATTGTTTAGCTTTAACCTCCATGACTTCTCTGGTCCACAACGAGCTGTTGTGGGATCAAAGCTTAACCCCGTCCAGCCACCGTCAGGGGGCATCCGGAGAATACTCTAGACTCTAAGTGCGCGCACGTGACCCCTCAGCAAAAAAAAGAGGATTCAAAAAGGTAGGCTTGGTGGCGATCCATGGCAACACCAGAATGCCTCAAGGAATTTAGTGAAATCTTATAATTAACAAAAGTTGCTACTCAGTAAATAGAATTTAGGAGTTTGAGTGTTGAAACATAATAGGCGATGCATCAAAAAAAAAAAAAAAAACACTGAAAAAAAAGTAGCAAACATATTGTAATGATGTTGTGGGACGTTTTTTTTTAAGCCTGCTTACTTAGTTGTTATTTGAAAAATGTGATTCCAATGTAATTGTCTATGGAAATACTTTAATACATGCTACTTACATAATTATTTAGTCGCAATTTGAAAAATATTATTTCAAATTGATTGTCAATGCATAGGCTTCATTTCCTTAAAAAAAACTTTTTAGACGGCAAAAGTCGATATATTTCAAGAGCTCGCATTATCACTTAGTAGTAGTGTCTAAAATCTGTGATGGTCTAAGAATTTATCCCCCTCATGTTAATCTTAGTTTGTCATATTCCATCTCATATTTTGAATTATTTATAAGCAATTTTAACACTAGACTGCGCGAGGAAGTCATTTTGACAGCTTTTTAATTTCAATTAGAAAAACAATGATGTATATAATGACGTAATTTCTTAGAATTTTGTGACTTTTTGCACAACATATAATTTTTTTATTGTTAATGCTTATTAATAACTTGTTATATAACTGTAAATAATATAAAAAATTAATTTTGAACAAATTTCTTTACACATTAGTTATTCTTTCACAATCCAGTCTTTTGACTGCTTTTGGGCAATATAGGTATATATTAAGTTTCAGTCTTTCTAGTGCTAATAACATTAGTTAGCAGTTAAAAAAAACTAGTACCATTTATGTTTTCAAAAATAAACACAGGAAATGTAAAGCCGCTGAACTGTATATACTAGCAGGTGGTAAGCAATGTGGAAATGCGAGTCATTCAATTCATATAGGCTAAAGCGGAAAAACTGCTAGCTGGTTAGCATTTCGCCTATATATTGTTTCAGTAGCACCAAAATGGTGTGACTATAAAAGTTACTTACAGTTTTTAAAAAAAAACCTTTTAAGTAAAATAATAACTATTCAAAATTACAAAATATGTAACACATTTGCACATTATTTGAATGCATTTACTCTTTAAAAAAATATTTATTTTGTTACATGAAAGTAATTTTAAATATTGATTGTGAAAAAACAGATAACTGTCCTTTTCTGACTTGACAAATTTAATTAAAACTTACCATGTTTATTATGTTACTCATTATTAACTTATTAATTTGATCAAACTTAACACTTTTATTCCATTACTTATTATCAGCTTATAGTTTCGTTAAAGCTTGTTATGTTACTTATTAATTAAAATTATTTATTATATTTTTTATTATTGTAACAATTATTGACTGGTTTTATTGCGATCCTGCAGAAACTACATAAAATAAAATTCGGAAGTTTGTCAAGAAAGTACAATCGCAATTTAAAAACTACCACTTGAAAATGTTCATTCGCTGTCCGGAGCAAGTTGGCATCTCTGTGTACATGTTACCGTCAAAGTATGAAATCCGACATTGTATAGAATGCCTAAAATTAGCCGGCAAAGTATGAAATGATTTATATTTCACACATTGCCTCGGCATTCTATAGAATGCCAAATGAGAAACCGGTAAAGTATAAAATACAAAATGTCATTCAAATTCGTCAAAATGTCATTCAAAAATGACAAATTCAAAACGTCACCCGATTTTATATTAATTTATTCATGGATATAATTACATTTATTCGATATTTTAATACTTACTGACGATAGATTACATTTATTCAATATTTTAATACTTACTGACGATAGATTACATTTATTCGATATTTTATACTTACTGACAATAGATTAGAAGAAACATCAGTGTTTGGAGTATCGGGCAAATGTATACCGGGCAATGGCACTTGACCTTAAAAAAAACATCAGTGTAGGATATACCGGGCAAATGTATAACGGGTAGTGGCACTAGGCCTAGAATATATTTCAGACATTCAACAAAGGTCTAGTCAAGACGGTATACATTTGCCCGGTATATCCTACACTGATGTTTTTTTTAAGGTCAAGTGCCATTGCCCGGTATGCATTTGCCCGATACTCTAAACACTGATGTTTCTTCTAATCTATCGTCAGTAAGTATTAAAATATCGAATAAATGTAATTATATCCACGAATAAATTAATATCAAATCGGATGCTATAAATATTTCGGACATTCACCAAAGCGACTATGTGATTGTCAGCATTCCTCGGTGAAAGTCAACAACCACCGATTTCGGCCATTCACAGTAACATGCACATCATTTACATAACAACCTCATCAGGACGTTTATTTCACACTTTGCTTAAATAGCATTTGGCATTCTATAGAATGCCTAGGAATTTTATACAATGCCTAGGGAAAGTATGTATGGAGCTACGAACAAACTCAGTGCCGGTGACCGCCATGGCATTCAACGTGTTAAACATAGCTACATTTATGAAAAATATTTGAGCTGAGTTTATTTATTTTATTGATTAGATTGATTTTCCAGTTCGTTAAAATAGGTACAACAGAGATTTTTAAGATGCGTGTAGAAAATAATCTCGGCTTTTGTTCATTTTTCATTGGAAGATGATAATCCTATAAAATGCTTTTAGTGCTTGCACCTGGTCGTAACTTGATATCATTTATTTTATGGTCTAGTTTTTCTTTTAGGATTAAGCTTTATTGCTATTGTCTGGATTGATTTTTTTTTGTGAATATGTGCTTTTGAAAAGTTTAAATTCTCTAAAGTGTACTGGTTGTTTATAAGTATCGGATAACTATATAAAATAGGTAAGTAATTTCTGGATACAATTCATGCTTTCTTATCAAATGAATGATCTCAAAATTAATAAAAAGTGAAGAAACTTAATCTGGCTGATAATCTTTTGTTTACTAAACTCTTAACCGTCTACCCACTGGACTAACAGTAGTATGTAACTAATGAGAAGCGCTGTTAAGTTAAGAGCTACGTTTAAATGATTTAACGGTGTTTTGCAGGTCTGGCAACTACTATGTTTTTTGTGAAATATTTTATGGAGTGGTAGACTTTTAAAAATCAAAGATTTTAGAATTTTCGGTAATTTTGCCAATATTTTAAAATCCTTACCACGAAAGAACTGGAACTCAGTGTCGTTGCATATGAACATTTAAATCATTTCGGATGGTTGAGTGGAAAATAAATTAGATAAATGAAAATATCATACTTAAAATGAATTCTTAGCTACCACTGAAATACATTTTAAACAAATACGGCGGAATGTTGGAAGCCTGGGAATACAATCGTTTTTACATTTGGTTTGCGCATTGAACTTATGAATGTGCCTAAGGCCGGAGTGGCCCTTTACCTATAGAAAAATGTTAAAGTGAACATAATACTACCTAATAGATAGGTAAGAAATATAAATAAACTAGCATTTGTATTAAAAGTGGTAAGTTATTTGTGATAAAATTTTTAATATATATTTTTTATGTTGCTGATTTGGTTTTATAATAAGACAACTGGGAGATTCTAAACCGAATTTAGATTTTATTATTATTTAAATATTCTATGATTGTTTTGCTCATCAAGATTAATCCAAAGACTACTGTTGCAAAAATGCATTTATTTGTTTTTACGTAAAAAGCTCGAAAAATTTATACGTAGACTAATCTATTATTTATTATGTAAACTTCTGCTTTAGTTATTTAATATATTACAAAACCAAATTTATGGTCTGCCTGGGCTCCTGAGACGAATAACGGCCTTTTCCCCATTCATCCTGCAATGAGAACTTAAGCAAAAAAACAAGAGACAGATTACATAAAATGCAACAGATAATGGCCAAACCCAAAATTCAGAACAAAACATAAAATTTGATATATTTTGTTAAAAAAAAAAAAAGGTGATGAAATAATCGGCTGTTTTGTCTTGTCTTGTAAGAGTGAGTAGTTACAAGACAAAACATAAGATTGCTAAGTTGCAAATTAAAAAGCAAGGTGGTTGAAAAGTAGCTTTTTAATTTTTGCTTGCTTAAGACTATATTTGTTCGTCTTTTTTAAGGACAGTGTTGAGTAAATCTGCTTATATATTTTAACAGTAAATTTTGATATGCCTTTCTTTAATTAACGAATAATAAGTTTAAAAGAATTAATAACTCCACTGAGCTAGAGAGAAGACATAATTGTTATAGACATATCAATTTTTGATATGCCTCTCTTTAATTAATGGATAATGAGTTTAAAAGAACTAATGAGTCCACTGAGTTAGAGAGAAGACATAATTGATATAGGCATATTTACTTTTGATATGCCTTTCTTTAATTAACGGATAATGAGTTTAAAAGAACTAATGACTCCATTGAGTTAGAGAAAAGACATAATTGTTATAGACATATCAATTTTTGATATGCCTCTCTTTAATTAATGGATAATGAGTTTAAAAGAACCAATAACTCCACTGAGCTAGAGAGAAAACATAATTGATATAGGCATATCCATTTTTGATATGCCTTTCTTTAATTAACGGATAATGAGTTTAAAAGAACTAATGACTCCATTGAGTTAGAGAAAAGACATAATTGTTATAGACATATCAATTTTTGATATGCCTCTCTTTAATTACTGGATAATGAGCTTAAAAGAACTAATGAGTCCACGCAGCTAGTGTGAAGACATAAGCTGCTATGGACACGTCTGTTTTCGATATGCATTTCTTTAATTAACGAATAATGTAAATATTAAAAAAAAACTAATAGCTCCACTGAGATAGAGAAGACATAATTGATATAGACATATCAATTTTTGATCCGCCTCTCTTTAATTAATGGATAGTGAGTTTAAAAGAACTAAGGAATCCATGGAGCTACTGCAGAGACATAAACTGCTTTGGACATGTATATTTTTATATGCTTTTCTTTAATTAATGGATGAGTTGAAAAGAACTAATGAATTCCCGGATCATCTTTTAAGATACCACTTGGACGTTTAGGGGGACTAGTCACCTACATTGCCTGGTCACAGTTCTCACATAAGAATATCTACTTTATGAAAAAAAAGTGTTCGTCACTAACTTAAGTGATTGAATTTTGTCTTATTTTCTTTACAACTTCTGTAGAACCACGATTGATCGTTTTTCATGGAATCATTCATTACGAACAATCGATGCAGTAAAACGATAAATGCAGTTCATCTTAAAATATCAAATAATGATTTGAAAATGTATAAAAATTGTTTAAGGAACAATACACTTAAAAACAAATAAATTTAAAATGATCCTAAGAAATTTGAGGGCAAAACATTTATCTACTTCGAGGGAACATTTTTACGGTGTTAAAGAATAAAAAACAGATCATATTTACTATTTTAAAAATATCTGTAAATTTTGTTTTGAACGCAATAATTTTTTCGTAATTTGAGCAATAAATCTTCGACATTAATATCAGATTTTGTTTATTCTTTGTTAGTTAGTTTGAGTACAGAAAGCTCCTTATTGTTCCTAAGACCTTCCGCTAATGTTTTCACTGGTTTTGGTTATTTCACTTTCTCTAATACATTTTTTCAACTTCTGCAATCATTTGAAATACTTCTCCAGAATGCAGAATTTGAACTCCAGAAGGCAAGGAAACTCCTGTATCAAGTATTGAGAGAAATTTTGCATTCGTGTTGGACTTTTTGATGGAACTAGCACGTATTTGAGTTATTTGGAGAGGAAAATCACGAAAACTTCCTACGGTTAGCCTGATGGCAAGGGGACTCTAACCTGTGATTCGTCTACCACAGAGGATATTTTACGTCAGCTTTGAGGTCGGGAAGAGTCGGGTGCGGAATCCGTACCGACCAGCCATTGCCGGAATTCAAACCTGTTAACCTCATTGAAAGGCGAACTCTAACCTCTCAGTCTGCATATTTCCCTTGTAGTAAATAATACAAGAAGTTGAAAGCACATTAGGTTTTATTCGGGTGAAAAAAAAATTGTGATTAACCCCTAGGGGACGGGTGATTCAGAAAAGCATTTGTACAAAATCAGAATCAGGATGTAATTTAATAAAAAACAGTAACTTAAAAGTAGTCGTTTATAATTTGACAGACTTACTTTGCTTTTATTTTAATTATTGTTAGTTTAATCATGTATATAATCAATGTTAATTCAAAGTATAACTAAATAGTTTTATTTTGAACAAAGTAATGGTGAATTAAATAAATCAAACAATTATAACTCCGCC